TTTGATCTATAATTGTGAAGTCAGTCTTAGGCCTGATCATTCACGGATCAACTTATGGGCTTGGACACCCTTCAAAAACTTTCTCACTTTGCAGCCAGTCCCAAGTATCCTATGAAAACTGGGAAAAGGTACAGCAACCTTGGAAACATTGGAGAACCAGCCTAGGCTCTATTTAGGGCCAAAATTTGATCAGAACCCCCCTCCCCCTTCGCACCATTTCAACTTCTTCCACTCATTTCAATTTTCCTCTTCACACACCTACATTCCATGCCATTCCACACCATTAGTGAGTTATTATTTTTATAGTTTTGAGTTTTTGTTGTGATTTTAAGTGTGAATTCTTCTCTAAGAAGTGTTTGAGAGGAAGAGAAGTGACAGATTTGTTCTTCCTGCATTTCCTAAGAGAGGCTACAAAGGATTTGCTTCAAGAAAGAGTTTCAGATAAGTGTTGTTTGTTTATTGTTGTTGTATGAATTTTCTTTTATATATGAAATTTGTATTTTTTTGTATCTTTCTCATGAAGTCTGAGTAGTTTCCTTTATCTTTCTCCCTACTCTGAGATATGGAGAAATGAAGAGATAATGTGGATGTGTCAATGTTAAAATTAAAATATTTTGTGATGAATTTTCAACTCCGCTTTTAATTTACTTTTCAATCTGGCCAATTGGGTTGTTAAAATATGTTGTGAAACACATAATCTAGGAAATGGAGTATGAGTTCTACAATAGAGTGAGAATCACATTTAAGTCCATGAAGGAGTATTTCGTTAATCGAATTAAATGCAAATAAATAGGGAAATATACTTTGTTGGGTGTAGAATTGGAGATTTCTAGGGTGACAGACTAAAAATCCCCAATTTAATCTTACTAGCCTTCAGAGGAAGGGAAGTGGGAGCTCTAGAGTGAGAGTCAGTGTCCTCCTAGCCTAGCCACGGATTTAGGGACTAAACCTAAGATTAGACAATGATTTTCTATAACACTGAATCAGGGTAGAGAATTAAAATTGCTCCTGGTTGGTACAATACATATTTAAACCATTTATCTCATCTCATTTCACAAAAAACTCATTGTAGTGGGAAAGATACTCTTTCATATTAGAAAACTTCATCACATAAAAATAGTTTAATAATTATTAATTTTTAAAACCTACTTTTAACTCCTGCTAGTAGTAAATAATTTATCTTTGCTAATATCTTAACATTTGAAATTAGCGACAATAATTTTGTTTGATTTCTGCAAATTTCCTGGTTAATTTATCATTTTAAATTTAAACATTCCCCGTATGATCAATATTTGGGACTTAAACATAAAGTCTTATATTACTTGATAATAATATGAATACTTTCATAGAATCCCAATCTTAAGTGCTTAGCGTTATTATTACTAAAATACCACATCAAGTTTTTGACATCGTTGTAAAGCGGTGTCAACTTTATAAGCTTTACACAACTATATTCAACCGGGATCAAGTCTCTGGAAGAAAATGGGCAGAGTTTCCCCATGGATTTTTGTTACCTCTCGTTTAGCCATGGAGGGGTTAATTTAAAGCCATGGCTGTTTGGTGGAGCTTAGGGCTTGTCAGTGGGTGTTGAGGCTTGCTGAGGTGGAGGGATGAAGAGCTCTAGTGACCAAAAATACTTGGCCAGCTCAGGGAGGTTTAATTTTGGGTGGTTGTTTCCTGTAGTTGAGGAGGTGGCTAGCCAGGTTATGGTCACTTCTTAGCTCAGGAAGGTCAAGGGAGAGTTAATTATGATTTACTCCCAATGGTAAGTGATGATGGCAAAGTATTTTCAAATAAGGCCCAATAAGGCCCAAATATGGTTAAGATCCATTAAATCAAGGGACCATTGGTCCACAGCTCACCTAAGTGGTTAAGGTGGGTTTAGGCAGGTCAATAGAGTCCTAATGGTGGTTGTGGTGACATTAATTTGGTGACTTTGGCATGGCTAAGTCAATTTTAGTGAAGGGGTTCATTTGGGTCAAAATGGCTAGAAGCTGAATTTGGGTTAGGCTAGCCATGACATTAATGTCAATTGATTATTCAATATTGTGTATATTATTGTCATTAGAAGGTTAGAAAATATTTGGAGTGATTTGAAGTTGATTTGGAAGTTCAATTTGGTTAGTTTTGATCATTTAGTCAATTTGGGGGTGTTGGATTGGACTTGGGTTTAGGTTAGGCTAAGGTTGGGTTAGTTCCAAATTGATGGTTCAAAATGGTTTATACGAATGTCATAAAGAGTCTTCAAAATAAATTTGGTGCCAATTTTGGGGTTAGGGCATTCAATTTGGTGGAATTTGGAGACATAGCCAATTTGGAGCAAATTTGGGGTTTTTGAATGTGAGTTAAAATTGAGTGAAATTGAGGCTTAAATAAGGCCAATTGAAGGTCCAAATTGATGTGTAGGATTGTTAGAAAGAATTTAGGATTCAAATTGTGACAATTTAGTGGATCATATGGTTCAATTAGGTGAGATTAAGTCATAGGGTCAAAATTGAGGGTTTAATTTGGATCAAAATTGAGCTCAAATCATGGATCAATTAGGCTTGGATTTGGTTTAAATTGATCATACGAAAGATTAATTTGAGTTTAGAATTTAAATTGCGGAGGATTTGTGCCAAATTGATGGGTATGTGAGGTGAATTTGGAGAAATTGGTCCTTTAAGAGCAATTTGGGGCTTTTGGTAAAAGTGGGCAAATTAGCCAAATTGGGTTCAATTAAAGGGTCCAAATTAGTTTTGGGAACATTTGAAATGATTTTGGAGGTTTGGGAAAAGTTCGGGCTACCAAGGGTATTTTTTTAATTTTGGCAAATTTGAGGGTATTTTGGTAATTTTGGAATTTTTGGGATGTTTTGGGAAATTTGGGGTTAGAAATGCAATGAAGGAAAATAGAAAAATCTTCTACAAGCTTCCTACGAAGGAATGAGATAGAGAAGTGATGAGGAAAGCAACCTTGAGTCAGGAATGTGACAGGAAGAAGGATTTTACACATTAAGGATTATGGAATTAACGGAAAAAAAAGAAAAAAAAACCATATACCCGCGAGATTGCAGAACAAAGCCGAAGGAGGCCAGGAACGCAAGAGGAAGAAGAATTCGGAGTAGTCAAGGAAGGATCGTCGTTTGTTTTCCATAAAATAAAGAAGAAACAAAAAAAAAAGGAATATTATTACCTGCAAGATCTCCGAAGAAGAAGAAGGACAGGGGAAAGCACTGAAGTGCTGAAGGTGGAAAACGGGGGTGGAGGAAGATTTTCGGATCGCAGGAGGAGGCGATGGATCTCAGTACGCGGCTAGGGCGAGAAAGTGTTTGTGGAAGGGGCTATGCGGAGGGGACAAAGCAATAATATTTCCTTCAAAAAGCGGGAGCTTTCGCTCAAATTCTTCGACGTTAGACCGCCAATGCCGCGCCAAACGGAAAAAAAAATAGCGGCCACAGGCCACGATGCGACAAAGTGGTACCAAACGGGCAGTAAATTCTAGTTGCATTTTAGAATTGGAATGTTCTTATTGGGAAATTATATACATACCACTCAATTTCTAGGTCTTTACAGATCTAGCCCCCACACTTCAAATTTTACTTACGTACCTTCCTCACCGATGTTTAAAAAGTTGTATTTCATCATTCTTCTCCTCCAATTCCGTGTTGAGATTGTGGCGAACCAAGGCGTCGAAAACTCCCATTTCACTTCTGGTCAACGAAGATGAGATCGTTGCGTTTAAAAACCTCCAAAACTGTCATAATTCTCCTACTCCAGTTTGGCGACGAGATCATTGAGAACAAAGACACTGGAAACTTTCATTTTTTCCGCCTTCAATTCAATGGTCACGGGATCGTGGCTTATTAAGATTTCTGAAACCCTCATCATTATCCTCCTTTACGGGGTTTGGTTCGGGAAAAAAATTTGTGTATGTAAGACGTTCACAGCGTTGCGTACATAATGGAAGTTATATGGGCGTTATATCGGCATTATATTAACGTTATATCCCTTGTAACCTCCATATAATTTTCATGTAACCTACATGTAACCTATAAATATGTGAAAACAGAAGCGCGGAACTTATTTGTAAGTTCAGATAGGTTACAGGTAAATTATATAGAGGTTACGTAGAGGTTACAAGAGATATAAGACGAATATAATGTCGATATAACACTCATATAACCTTCATTATGTACGCAGTGCTGCGTATGTCTTACGCAAATTTTTTTCTTGGTTCGACGACGTAGAGATTATGGCTACATTGATGGAAGCGCACACAAAAAATGGCGATTTCTTAAAATCAGAGATTTGTAATTTTTTTGGGTGGTATGTACGTAAAACCCCCAAAAAAACTCTTTGTTTTGTATACTCATCATATATATTTGTTCAATTTTTTTTTATTTTTCTTATATTGAGCAAATAAAAATAGAAAATAAGAAAATGAGATAAAATTATAATTTGTTTGGTGATGCCGGATGCGAACTTATTTATTAAAATTTTTTCATATATTTATTTATTAGGTTTTCTAATAAATTTTTTGTATCTAATTTGAGTTTCATATGAAACTTGTATTTCCATTAATATAGTTAATATGAAAATTTATATTAAAACTTTAATTATTTTTTTAAGTTATTAAATAATATAAAATAAATTAAAATATTTGTAAGATTATTTAATTTACCGATGACAATTACAAGCCTTAATTTTGAATTATATGTTTTAACTAATTTATTTTTATAATAAATTTCGCCTGTGACCCCGGACTCAGCTCAGATAGGTGGGCTTAACTAAATTTACTAGTTTGAGGTCAGTAAATACGTGTTTGGGTATCTATGCAAACAGAAAAATCATGAACAACAAATAAATAGTATTAAATAGATTAATAAAAAAACAAATAAATAATATGAAATGGACTAATAGAAAAACTATATATTTATCAAATGTCCTTCGAAAATAACGAAGTTTTTCATCCTCGGCCGTTGATTGAAGTAGTTGTGATTGAAGTAATTGTCTTCTACTTCCTCATTCATAACCGCCGCTAAAAGCCCTATCCATCCGCATCCCAAGGCTCACTGGATAATGACCGATTTATCATCTGGCACAACCTTCCAAGGCCACCTTAGGGATAATAGATGATCTTCCTTTCCCTTCACTGCCACTAATTAATCACCAAATATTCATTCTTGTAGCTCCGGTGGTGACGATGACGACCAGTAAGTTGGCGGGTTACTACGAAGCGCCAGAGGGCGTGGACGTTCGCGGGCGCTACGAGAAAGAATTTGCTAAGATTCTGACGCGGGAGGCACTGGAATTCGTGGCCGGGCTTGACAGACAGTTCAGGGGCCAGATCAGGCACGCGCTGGAGTGTCGGCGGGAGGCACAGCGGCGGTACGATGCCGGGGAGCTTCCGGGGTTCGACCCTGCCACGCGGTTTATCAGGGATAAGGACTGGGTATGCGTGCCGGTGCCACCCGCCATCGCCAACCGGATGGTGGAGATCACCGGTCCTGCCGAGCGCAAAATGGTTATCAATGCCCTTAACTCCGGCGCCAAGGTTTTCATGGTATGTATATTGATTTTATGTTTTTTATTTAAAAAAAAAATGATATCGTACAACGACTCTTATTATTCGGAAAATATGTCTAACTCTTTTATCAATGAAAAACCTTCTAAATTTTACAAGGATAGTAATACAGCATGGAAAAGTTATCTTATGAATAGTCAAAACCATCTTGCACAATTATTGTGGCACAAATTTTCGTGCGGGATATTTTGATCGAGTCTAATCCGGAATATTTTGAAGTTAATTCATTACATAGATTTGATCTTATTTATTTAATTGAAATGAGCCTACTTATTAACTGTCTCGATCTAGATTAGAGCAAAATATACCTCATCGATCTAGTTCAATTTTATCCTATTTAATATTCACATTACATAAATATTATAATTTTAATATTTAAAAGTGAATTATATCTTTTTCATATATAGGTAACACTACACGGTTGTTGATTGTTGATGTGATCACTAAGTAAACTTGTGCTTCCTTTGAATATTAGGCGGATTTCGAGGATGCATTGTCTCCTACTTGGGAGAACCTGATGTGGGGCCAGGTTAACCTCAAGGACGCGGTCAATGGAACCATAAGCTTTGAGGATAAGGAGAGGGCGAGAATATATAAGCTCAATGAGAAGACGGCTAACCTTTTCGTACGTCCAAGAGGCTGGCACCTGCAAGAGAGCCACATTCTCATAGATGGTGTGCCTGCCGTTGGCTGTCTTGTCGATTTTGGCCTTTTCTTCTTCCACAACTACGCCATTTTTCGGGCCACCCAGGGCCAGGGATGTGGTCCCTTCTTTTACCTCCCCAAAATGGAACACTCCAGGTGAGTTTATCGCTTCAGATAAAATTTTAAGGAATAGTCAAAGATTGATATGCACTAAAATTTTGAATGTCGAGGTAACCTTCTTTACTCACATCGTAGAAAAAATGGAGATCTTTGATCCGTATGGTCTTTTATGTATTTCACAAATCATATGTAGAAATTGTTGTAGAGAATTATTTTTTCATAATAATTATGCCCAAAAGAAATTTTCATTCATTCAAATATAAACTTATAGAAATATTAACCTTAAAATAAATTTTTTAAATATTATACAAATTTTAATAATAATAATTTTGTAGGATATTTGAGCAAATTAAATGAAGAATACGCCCACACTGCATAAAAAAAAAAAAACTTGACTGAAGCCGCAGCCGCACTTAAAGGCATGTATAGCAATTATTTCACTTTCTTACGAGTTGTTTTTTTGTGTTATCACTCAATAAACAATTCTCCTGCAATTTTCCAATGAAGTTGCTATAGAAGTGACATTCATTTCTTTTTGTTTGTCTTTTTATGTAATAAATTTTCACTAAATGATTTGTTTTATTCAGGAATGCTAAAAATTAATTTTAAAAAGAAGCTTATATTTTGATCATAGTTACTTGAAGCGTAAATTGGGCTTAGAGGTGAAAAGATGATTCCTCACGTGTCATTATCTTAATAAAAAATTGTTTGATCTTTGTAAAAAGTTTTTGAATTGATATCTAATAATGTGCTAAAAAAAAAATTTTAACAATATTTAGCTTCATAGATACAAATAATTAAAGCTGTCAATTTGGCTCGTTGTTCGTGAACAGCTCGTGTTCGGCTCGTTAAGCAGCTTGTGTTCGGCTCGTTTGTTAAGCCTAACGAGCTGAACACGAACAAATTTTTAAGCTCGAAATGTAAACGAGCCGAACACGAACAACAGTTTGTTCGCTCATGTTCGGCTCGAAATGGCTCGAAAAAAAAATTATATAACTTTTTATATAACAATATATTACATATATTATTTGTATAATAATATATTATATATATTTATGTCTAAGTTTAAATCATAACACCTCATGTGACGATGTGGTTAGTGTCTTCTTTTGTATAAATTTGATCCAGGTTCAAATCCCACACTTTACATATATTTTTCTCAATTTTAGTTTAACGAGTCAATTTTGAGCCGAACATGAATACGAATATTTAAATCGAGCCAAACACGAACACACTGTTCACGAGCCGATTTCGAACACGATCCGATTTCGAACACGAGCTATGTCGAACGATCCGAACACGAGCCAAGCCTGAGCTCGCTCAAGCTCGGCTCGTTTACAACCCTACTTTGAATTATGTATGGTACATACTCTATAATCTAAATATCTTTGACCATGTGGATTGAAAGGTTACAAACAAAGCACATATCTCAATCAAAATAAATCAAGCTAACTCAAGGATAGGTCCCAGACGAGCCACCCAACATGGTTCAACCAACCCAAGAGCTAGACAGATCAAACCTCCAGCATTAATCGAGTGATCGATCCAAAGGACGGACGAATCAAAAAGCCTGACAATGTCAGAGTAGCTGAATTGGAAAAGATGACATGAAACCAACCAAGATTATGAGTCGATCAACTCAGGGAAAAGTCAGCTAGCATAAGGGCGAAACTCTAGATAACTGCTGAGAGCATTGCAAAGAGTCGATTGTTAAGGGGTCAGCTGATTGAAAAGTAATGTGGGTTATGATTTCACAATGTCTTTAGTCTCTTTTATAAATAAAAGAGTGTTAGTGTATAGGGATCACGGGAACCGTACACAAAAAGTTTATAATTGATTACACACACACCCACACACACACAAAAGACTCCATTCCTTGGGTGTGACTCACGGGTAAATCTAGATACAACACCATAAAGGGTACGGTAAGTATGGATCATGTCATATTGAAGAATAGAAGTAACTTGAGGAGAAGAACTCCAACGTTCAAAAACTATAAACAACATAGACTACACTTGAGAATTTTTAATACAATAAATTATGAGCTTAAAGGAAAAGTGATGGAAGCTATCAAGGATGCGCTAACTCAAGAGAGGGTCCCATCACGTGACCAACAACTTCTTATAACCTGAAAAAAGATGGCTAACCTGAACACCAATAGATCTTCTCCTGCCTAGAAGGAGAACAAGACACTCACTACCCAGATAATACATGTTCAGTGTTGCTCGGTCATTGTCAATACGAGCGAATTGTAGCATCAGGATCTATGCAGCCATAAAATGTTTTCTCCTAACAAATTTCTAAGTTCGAGCCTCTTGTGTGTTTCAAGATCGCGATCCTTGAATCTTATTGAGGATGATCAGAGGCGACCGGCCATATCACCTCCTTTGAATCGACCATCCGCCTGCTGAAAGTAAACAATGAGTTGAGGTGTCGTATTTTCCTTGAGGGATTCAACTCGATGATGGTTCAACAGGGTGTCATCAGGAGTAATATGTCATTTACAAATTCTGAGAGAATATTCATCACATAGTTCACTAGTACATAAAAACCACATAAGAGCTTAGGGTCCCTCCAATTACATCAGGGGCAAGGGGAGTCTTTAAGTTCCTTCATTACCAACTTTTAAAAAGAAATGCTAAAGGATTGAGATCTGAAACCTACAGTTGCTCATGCAGCCCTCGCCTATGTGATCCAAGAATGACCATCACACTATGCTTCAAATTTAAAATACCCAAAAATGCTAGCTCTGTTACTAGAGCTCGCCAATAATCATATGTTCGCTAAAGGGTACAACTCTCCCCTCACCCCCGAAGTTGAACGGTCTAACTGAAACCTTTCTAAGAGAAATCCTAGTTGAGAAAGTTGGAAGGCAATGTGTATCTCCCATATGCCGACCAAAGCTCATTTCAAAGAATCTTGCCCGTCCTCAACCAATCAGACACTAGAAAAAAATTTCCCGCAAGAAGGAAGGTTCTAATATCCCAAGCAACAAATGAGCCACCACTATAGGAGAAGCCCACCTTCGACCCATGAAGTTCTCCAACTGAATCTTCTATGTCTTGATGGCAGAAGTAGTAGAAGCCGTTCAAAAAAATGTGTATATTAAGAAGGCATCTCCAAGGAAGGCATAAAGAGGTTTTGTGTTTACCATTGAGATCACATGAATGTTGAATCCTCCTTAATTTGATTGAAGAATTGATTGAAGCGTAAAAACTAAAGAAATTCATAGCATTTGGGATAGTCACCCAACAACAAGGAAAGGCTCCAATAGAAGGAGCTTTTGATGAATCCTTTTGAACTCAAGTAATTTACGTAGACGACATTGTACCAGCTATCCTCAAGTGAAAAGGGAGCTAGGTTGCCCGTTGATTTAGTTTAAAGAGACTTCACTTAGGAGACATATACTTTGATGGTCCTGCCCCTACATTGCCCCTCACAATACCTACTAATCTTCCTCACCAACGAAGATCAGCCCACCAAGGGCATCCCTTACAATGAAGTCATCACCATTATCACCCTCGTTGTTGACTTCCAAATTTGAAGCATAGTCATCAACTCCAGAAGTTCAATAAATATTATATATATATATATTTTTTATAAAATGAGTCCGGGTTCTAACCACCTCTCAGCCGCTTCTTGTTCACTTTATGGATTCTTTCAAAAAAGAAAGAAAGCACTCAGATGCATCACCTTACTGATCACCTAGGGGGAAGATGCAAAATAGTTCAGGAACGTTGCTGACTTCATCATCATTGATTCACTAGTAACATATAACATCATATTCAGTTATTCCCTCCACAAATCCCGTCTAAGACGTGCTATCCACATACCTCATTTTCGTAAAATTCTTGGGTAATGGAGAAGTGATCATTATATGTGGTTACTTGGAGAAATTTAAAATGGTTATCAGTGCATTGTCGACAGTGTGCATTAGGAATCACTTGAGTTTGACACCCAACAAGGGATTTGCCTCAAAACTAGTAAAATCATCAAAGAAGTCTCCATTGAGGTTGATAAAATGGGTAATTATTTTGGGCAAAGTAATGTTTTTGATGCAGCATATATGGAGAAGCTTATCAAGTTGCTCCGAGCGAATTGAAACGTTTTCACCTGGTCGGTTGTAGAAATTATAAGAGTACCAATTGACGTCAGCTTCCATCAACTCAACATTAACCAGGCAACCTGATCCATGAAGTAGAAGATGAGGACGACAATAGTCACATTAACTGGACACTTACATGAAGTGGTGTCGAAGCCATTAAATGAAGGTTACATATACTCTGAATGCACCGCCAATGTGTTCATGCTCTATAATCAAATGAAAAGTGAAGGAGGTGTGTTGACTTCTCTGACCTGAATGCAATCTATCAGAGGATAGCTACCCTTTATCAAGAATTAACGCGTTAGTGGATTCACTAGTTAGGCATTCAATTATGAGTTTTCTTGACATCTTCTCAAGCTACAACCAGATAAAAATGCATTTATCCAACATTAAGTAAACTACTTTAATTTTGAGAGACAGTGTGTTTTGTTATAATATAACATCTTTCGAACTTAAAAAAGCAAGCACAACCTGCCAAAATCTGAAATATGTAATATTTATAAAATAAAACAAATTACTGAAGTTTATGTTAATGATTTGAAAGTTAAAGGTAAAACACCTAAATAATACATAAAATTTTTAAAGATATCTTCAAGAATTTAAGATAATAATATATGACATTCAAACCTCTTAGATGAACATTTGGGGAAAAGACAAGAAGTTCTTAGGGTACTTTTTAATGCTCAAATGTATAAAAGCTAACGAACAGAAGATTCATATCTTGGTCAATACGTCAACACCTCTCAATATCAAAAAGTTATAAAAGCTGACAGCTTGAATCACAAGACATAGCAGATTCATCTCAAAGTCGGATGATAAGTGTGCTATATTTTTCAAAATCGTGAGGCGGGTGACATGCCTAAAAATCAACTATTTTTTATATACATTTGTCTTTTGCATGTTTTTGGTTCCATATACAAGAAATAAAGTTTTGGAGAAAATGAAAAAAATGGTGCAATTTGTAATGAAATTGAGCAAGGAAGAAAATTTTGATATGGTGCATTTTGATCACCGAGAAAGCAAGTTCCGACAACCATCTTTATGCGGGGCGTCGATCCGACTGAGCAAAGTAATCCTTAACTTATCTCTAAAATGAGTCAACTAAAAAGTCCAAAGATGGTTCCTTATCTAATTGCGACAAGCTCCGCGAAAGGTAATGCACAAATTATCCTAAAATCGAGCCTTGATGACACTCCATTTAGCGTAAAGATTTTGAAATGTAACCTAGATTCAGGAGGTATAAGATGTGAGCCAAGCACCAACACCTCAAATTTATGATGCAAGCTATCTAGTCGGTCAAAGACACATAAGATGGCCAATAACAATGTAAAGCACCCAATCGACATCCAATGTCCAAAGGTTGATCCTTAACGCTCAAGCATAATTAAAACTATGCATCTAAACTCAAACTGAATAAGGCTTGAGGTAGTTCTATGCTCAGTAGTGGAAAGACCCGCCAAGGGCACCGAGCAAATAGCGTAAGCCAAGTCCGAATTTACAGTTGTCAGACTAAGCAAATGAGACAAGGGATAATATAAGGCTTAGGAAGGGTGACTTGCACCTTAGAGTCAAACAATAGACCATACGTAGTGATAGGCAACCAAACGTTATACAGATCATATGTGATAAATGATAATGTAAAATGATGGAGTAAAAAAATAAAATAATAAAAAAATGAGATGAAAAATCTATTGAATTCCATTCATGTAGTTGATCAGAAAATAATTTTCTTTCTTTATAAATGAATGTATACATAAAAAGACAAACCTTTTTCCGATGTGCAGGTAAGTCAGGCAATAGAGTCACACATTAAAGGAGCTATCGTATGGTGCTCAATCCATCCTAAGACTCACCGTCCATGACTGACATTGTAGGAGAAAAGGACTTGATAAATTTTGTCAGGTCAAAGTACTTCGAGTAGACCATTCAAGCTCACACAAACCAGTTGATTGCTGACCTTGTGCTGAGCCAGAGATTCTTGGTCTGGCCTTCATTGAACTCTCTAGCATTCTTCAAGGTGGCAACCCTCTCTGACAAGTCCGCTTTCTCATCTAGAATAACAATGAGCCACTCAGACATTCCCTCTAAGTCTCCCTCGTCCTCAGCTAGCAAGGCCTCTACTTCAGCCACCCTCTCTTCAACATTAGTGAAATGGGCCTCTTCTTTAGCCACCGTTCCTTGCCCTCTAATGCCCGAGTTTCTGTGAGTTTAGCTCGCCTTTTTACTTTGTTATTTGATTTCTTGGTTTCATGGTATCGGGTTGTTAGGTGATGGAGTGAAGCAAGCCCTAGTAGTTGGAATTGATCCACCAAGCATCACATATCCCACAAGTCATATTCATCCAAACGCTTCACCAAGCTTTGGACTATAGGACGTCGACGACTACGATGATATGCTTGCATTTGCTCAAACCATATGCGTATCAATTGAATAGCATTTCGATGAGAGTGAAACCAGTAGTTAGAATCGATCCACCAAGCATCACATATCCCACAAGTCATATTCATCCAAACGCTTCACCAAGCTTTGAACTACAGGACGTCGGCAACTGCGATGCCAACTTGCATTTGCTCAAACCATATGTGTATCAATTCAGTAGCATTTTGATGAGAGTGAACCAAGAACCTCGAGTAACAATAAGCTTTGATTGCTCCTCATGCATCAGGCTCCAATTGTCCCGCTCCTCAATACCTCTTTCCTGGACGAGGGTGAAGATCATCCTTAAACTCCTCTAGGGGGAGCCTTGCCTTTTATTAGCAAGCTTTAGCAGAGACTGACGGCTTGGCCTCGGACTCTATCTCAACTTCAACAAAGACCTCTACAACGATCCCCAGTTCCTTGGTCACTGGCTCATGTTGGGGAGTACTAGGGGTTGTCTGACTAACTTCCCCCTTATAGGCATGGATAATGAAGCTTGTAGGGGTCACATGTTGAGGGCTAATTGGTGTTCGGTTGGCCGGGGTCACATGTTGAGGGCTGATCGGTGTTCGGTTGGATTACCCATCCGAAGACTCCTCAACATCCGACCGGAGGTAACTAGGTGTTTGTAAAACTTCAGCTTCTCAGGCCCTCTTAATTGGAGCTGGCTTTTGCCCGATCAGTTTCAAATCTCTGGTGAAAGCATTTTGAATTACAATTGTGGTTTCAGAAACAAAATGTATTGAATATGAACCTAGAGTCGCACATGTGGTGCGAGCAATCGCCTTTGTCTCTTTCCTTGATCGAGCCACCTCCTTGTTCGTCCTTCTCTTTTTCTCTGGCTATGAGAACCGATCTAGCCACCTCTTTTCCTTTGCAGCATCAGACACCAGCCATAACGTCGATGTCATCGCCTCAATCTCCATTGGTTCAAAAATTAGTAACTAGTCTTGTCGGTTATTGAATGAATAACAATATTTTTCCTTTCCCTCCATTGTCGAGGCCAATATCTCAAATCTGGGCAGAGATTGATTTCTTTCTCTTAGAAATGCCTCTGGTAGATCGGCTTAGCACTCCGAAGTCTCGGGTCGACCCAATGAGAAACCTATACTTCTAATCGTTTATTTCGCTCTTTAGGCCGACCAAATAAAACTTTCAGGTCGACCCAAAGACCACATAACTGTCAGACCATTCTGATTCAACACAGCTCTTTTGATTAACTAAATTTTATTATGTATATAAGATAAGTATATATAAATAACAATTTAATTTCGTAAAGAATTAAGCTTTTTAGAATGATACGCTGACGCAACCTCCATCACTTCAATGGCATGCAGGGAAGCAAGAATCTGGAATGGAGTCTTCAACCGAGCAGAAGAATTCGCTTCCATCCCATCCGGCAGCATCCGCGCAACTGTCCTTATCGAAACTCTGCCTGCCGTCTTCCAAATGAATGAGATCCTCTATGAGCTCCGCTCTCACTCTGCTGGCCTCAACTGTGGTCGCTGGGATTACATCTTCAGCTACGTCAAAACCCTCCGCGCCCATCCCGACCGTCTCCTCCCCGACCGCGTGTCGGTCGGCATGTCGCAGCACATGATGCGCTCCTACTCCGACCTCCTCATCTTCACGTGCCACCGCCGCGGCATCCATGCCATGGGGGGCATGGCCGCTCAGATACCCATCCGCGGTGATCCTGTTGCGCACGCCAAGGCGATCGAGGCCGTCCGACTCGACAAGTTTCGGGAGGTGCGGGCTGGGCATGACGGCACGTGGGCGGCGCATCCAGGGCTGATTGAGGAGATTGGGAAGGTGTTTGAGGAGGGCTTGGCGGGGAGGGATAATTTAATTGGGGTTGTGAGGAGGGACGATGCGGCAAGGATTGGGCAGGAGGATCTGCTTCAGAGTCCGAGGGGGAGGAGGACAGTGGAGGGGCTGAGGCTGAACACGAGGGTGGGGATACAGTACCTGGCGGCCTGGCTCGCCGGGACGGGCTCCGTCCCGCTCTATAACCTCATGGAAGATGCCGCCACAGCTGAAATCAGCCGCGTGCAGAACTGGCAGTGGATCAGGTTCCTTTCTTACTCCCTCTCTTAATTAATTCATTCATCATAAATCGAGCTAAAAATGTCCCTTTGTGTTTAAATAATGATGCAAAATGGTTTGCCATTAATCCGGGCTCATTTGGTTGTGTTTGAGGCTCACTAGTTGCTAATTGAAAATGTTAAATAAATTATTTTAATGAAGGATAATTGTGCTGTCATTTTTGGAGGTATCAAGCTGCGCTGGACGCCAATGGAGTGGAGGTGGCAGTGACGCCGGAGCTGTTCGCAAGGGTGGTGGAGGAGGAGATGGGAAGGATTGAAAGGGAGGTTGGGACAGAGAAGTTCCTGCTTGGGAAGTACAAAGAAGCCTGTTCCATATTCGTGCGACAGTGCATGGCGGCCGAGCTCGGCGATTTCCTGACACTAGATGCGTATAACCAGATTGTCATCCATCATCCCAGTGCAGCATCCAGAATGTGAGTTTCTGAAGCATAATTATTGTCTAGCTTTTCCGCTTGTCGTGGAACAAGGTCGAACTTTAGGCTACAGTGCTTTATGTCTGATGTTCTAGAGTTTTGCGTTATGTACTTGTATGAATAAAAAGGTTGCGGAGCTTGTTCCCCAAAACAAAACAATGGAATAATTGAACTTCAAAAGGGTTACACAATTGGCTTAATATCTAATAAGTGTAGTATACAATAATGAAATGGCAGAAACCAATAAATTATGAAGGCTTTGTCGTTTACTAAAAAGTCTCGCGTGTTAGTTTCAGGCACTACGATTATAACACGATTGGATTGCAGCTCTTTTGATAAGCTATGCAGGTGTGGCGGTGATGAAACCGTCACCGACTAACGTTAGCAAATTACCTATTTTTCATTCAACATTTAATAAATTAAAAGGCCATATAAATATGAGAGATTATAAACAAAAATATAAACACGACTTTTTAAAATTTTCAGAAGATGAAAAAATTAAACAAATATGAAGAAGAAGCTGAAAAATAGGAAATATTAAAAAAAAATTAAGAAAAAAATTTCATTCTGTTAGCTATTTCTATTTAATTTGCTTTATTTTTTGGCTCATTTTTACGTTTATATATTAATACATTATGGGATGTACATACCAAACACTGAAATTTTTATTCTTATTTCTTATTTCACACACAAACATCAAATATTAAACTATTGAACCCAAATCTCTCCAGATTGCCTGCTTAAGGAATAGAGCGCACAAAGATGAGAGAGAGAGGCCAAACAAGAGCACAATAATGAACAATAGATTTGTGTAACTTTTATTCATGAAATGAACCTCCTATTTATATGAATGAATCTTTGCATATTTATACATTTTACCCTAAATTATGTAGGTACGGTGGGGGCATTTTATTCAGTACATAAATATGGCCCAGGGAGCCCATGAGCATGACCGGTCCGCTGCTAGACCGGGCAGCTATTAGGTCAGGTGACTATCCGCTCGGGCTACTATTTGTGGAGAATTCACGTCTCCCGCCCTAGAACTGTGGGGTTCGTCTTTACTCTCTCAGCCTATTCAGGTCGAAAGGCGATTTATTTACTTAGATAGATCTAGTCTGATGGATTCTTCAGGTGCGGTATGCCTTTTTCTTCCCGAGACGTACCATCTTTCCGGCATGCGTGGGTTTTCGACCGATTGTTTGATCTTGCATCGTTCTTGGTAGGCCAGCTGGTCCACGTCACTCCTCCTGCTAGCCGTGAGATTTCTTTGTGATTCGTGCTGACACATTTTTAATGTACATGTCAAAGTTCCCCAATTTTCGTATTCTTTGACAGCAATGACTGAGACAAGGACAATGAAAATTTATAGTGAATGAACCTCATAACAATATTCATAAACGATAAAAATAAACTCTGTAAATTGTTATGCAAAATTAAATATATAGGGCTTTGAGGGGATAGCTTCATCATTTCTACTTTGTTTACTTGGCCTTTGTTTGTTGTGGGCAGCTTTGCTAGGGAGATGAGATTCGACTAAATGCTAAAACCTATTGACAATGCCAGGATGCTACCGCGCTCAGGATCCGATCGTGGTGACTCGAGGATGAGTCATTGAGGAAGTGGTTGACCAAGAAATTAAGGCTAGTTGAGGGAGTGAGGTTGGAAGAGTCGTTTGATTTAGCCCATGCACTGAGAGAGGCTTTACCGAAGGTTGGTGGGCAGCAGGGGGTTTCCGCGGTCGACCCGCCAAAGGGAACTCCCTTTGGAGTTTGATGCGAGGCGATTTAGTGTGACAATTTTGCAAATATTTTTCAATATTATAAAATTACACATGACAGATATATAATAAATATGCAATATAATCCCAACAAAAATACTATTTATGTAAATAATTTATCTTTTAAAAGTATTTTTAAACTGTCAAATCTCTTTTAATATCAACGCAAGTATATGTATTGCTCAAGTAATAACGGACTCTAATAAAGTTCTAGATATCGATCTCATAGGGAAGTTGAAAAATTCTAAATTAAATTATGAAAATGATTTTATAACAAAAAAAAAAGTAAAAGTAAAGTGCGAAGTTTGAAAATTAATTACTCAAGTGAATGCTAATTAAAATGCAAAAGTAAGACTTTAGAAGTTAAACTAAACTAAATACTAAACTTTCTAAAGTAAGATTACAAAAATTAAACAAAGTTCTGTTGTGACGGAAAGTTCAAATTTAAGAAAGCATCATTCCCCTTTACAATGAGTATATGGATTGTGAAGAAATTGAAATCATTTGAAAATATTTAAAAAAACTGTTTTGAGCCAAATAGGAGCAATTTTATTATTTATCCTCTTCCGAGTGCTATAAAGAACATTGACTAATCCAGTGTTTTGTCCCTAATTCCGTGGTTAGGCTGGGAGTGTACCAGCTGCCACTCCAAAGCTCCCACTACTCCCTCTCCTGAGTGCTAACAATCTTGCATTAGTTTCCAATCAACTAGACCAAATTGAAGATTTTAATCTGTCACCTTAAAATCTCCAATTCTGCATCCAACAAAGTATATTTCCCTATTTATTTGAACCTGACCAAAAAAAATATGTTGAGATTTTCATACATATTTTATACTGTTTTTAATGATATTGCACTTTAAAGAAAGATATTTTTGATGTTTTGTTGCAGGAATGATGAATTAGGGTCAATGAAGCAAAAAGATGCAAAAATGAGCGAATTTTGAGCAAAAAGGACCAAAATGTGGAGATTTGAACTACGGCTGCGGACGGCGCCATCGACGCCGCCGACGTCGAGTTTTTTTCCGAGGCTACAAGACAAAATTCTCCAGAAGTCCGCCGACCGCGCCCCCGGGGCCGC